TTTATGTGTATTATGTATTATGTTAGATTATGTGTATTCTGTTATGAGTTTATGTGTATTCTGTTATGAGTTTATGTGCATTCGAAACAGGGAATTTTTTTTTTTTTAATAACTTAACAAAACGACGTCGTTTTGGGAGGTGCGAGGCGCACAATGCAATATGCGCCCTGGTGCACGGTATAACGATTGCAGGTAGAGACGTAGAGTAGAATAGTAATTTTCCAGATCCATCAAAATTGTGGGCTTTAAGAGCATCCTCATCCATTCAAACTTTTTCACAGTTTTTGAAATGTCATTAAAAAAGATAATGGATGGCAAGAAAAACAAAAAGGGAGAAAAAGAACCCAAAAAAAAATTAAAAAAATAAAAAAATAAAAAAGCTAGCAACAAATTTTTTTAAAAAAAATTTGAAAAAGTTAATAAAACATGCAGAATCTCACATTTGTTTGTCCTTTTGTCTCACATGACGGGCCCACAAAAAAACATAACTTGTAGGAAAAAAATCACCTCAAAAATTCAACTTTTCATTTGTTAAAATCCCTCTTTGATTTTTTCCTCAACAAAAACCATGAAAGTGCACTGATGTGGATGCTCAAAGTGCCAATTTGCCAAATAGTGAACTTTGACGGACCCTGCCCTATCAACCTGTTTTGAAAATATTAATCATATACTCTTGCAATCACATATTCATCAACCTTTACTATCACCAATACCTTGATTCCTTGTATCATTGTATGTAATAATGGAAAACACTATGGAGAAAAATGTTTCTTTAATTTTTCATTTGGTTCCAACAAATGCAATGGTGTGCTAGCAAATTGCATTATATGATTTAATATTAGTTATTTGTGTAAAGATGTTTAGTAAATTATTTAAATTAAAATGACGAGATCAAACTCTAAATAAAAATAATAATTACGTGCTCTTGGGATTTAGGCCATGTTTGGTTCATGGAATAGGTCAGAAATGGAATGACATTACTTGGAATAGACCTATTCCATTGTTTGGTTCATCACTTTGCCATGGGAATACTATTCCTAGGAATGACATATTCCCTTTGAAAGGGAAATAGTCATTCTTAGGGGGACCTTGGTATTAGCTATTCCTATGGTTATGAGAATAGCTTTTATATTACAAATACCAAAAATACCCTTACATATTTTTATAAGGGTATTTATGTCTTTTAAAACATATTTCATTTCTATTCCTTAAACCGACCAAACACTGTAATATAATTTCTAAAGTCTATTCCTTCTGTAACCAAACAATAGAATACAATTCTTATTCTATTCTTTGCATATTCCATTCCTTATGGAATAGCATTCCTATTATCCGAAAATTCATTCCGTGAACCAAACGTGCTGTTAGTGTAGTGGTTCTCGTCTTACTTGATGTCACGACGAAAGGTGTCACTGTGAAGGCCCAAAATCCCAACGAATGGTGGCAGTGTGAGTATTTGATTCTCACTGGAACACATGAATGAGGAAAAGGATCTAGATGATGGAAGGTGTGAATTTGATTTTTTGTGTATGCATAAAGACTAGTGTCTGACCACGCAATTTACCTCTGGGTCTAGAGGCAGGCCGACAAATTATTATGTAGACCATAAAAAGTACATTTTTAATATACTAAAAAGTACATTATTTTTATACTGAATGTACATTATGTAAAATAATGCAATTTCAGTACTCAAATAATATAATTTCCAGGAATACAGTGTACACTTTTAATATACTAAAAATATATTATTTGTGTATTGAATATACATTATTTAATAATATACAAAATAATGTACTTTCAATACTCAAATAATATACTTTCAAATAATGTATTTTATGTACACAAATAATGTACTTTTTATTTGTGGTCTAAACGATAGTATGGACCATGATCCATACAATAATGATGGGGGCAAATTCTTATGGGCTTATGATTATTTTGGTGAAACTGGATCACCTAACAATCGTTATGCTGTGCATCCCATGCACATGGTGCATACGGATGCCAAAACGACGTCGTTTTATTAAAAAATGCGCGTCTCCCGTTTAAAAAAAATTCAGGTTCGATTCCCAGCAACAACATTATATTGTTCATTCATTCCGAAATTTTAGTTCATAGATTATAGAATTATAGTTCATTGATTATGGAATTATAGTTCATCGATTATGGAATTGTAGTTCATCGATTCTGAAATTTTAGTTTATAGATTATGGAATTTTAGTTCATTCATTCTGGAATTTTTAGTTCATAGATTAGATTATGGAATTATAGTTCATCGATTATGGAATTATAGTTCATCGATTATGGAATTTTAGTTCATATGTTATTGCTGGGAATCGAACCTGATTTTTTTTTTAAGGGGAGACGCGCGTTTTATTAAAACAACGTCGTTTTTGCATCCGTATGCACCATGCATGGTGCATACGGATGCACAGCATAATTTGCCGACCTAAGCTAAGTATTAAAAAAAAAAAAATTAATTACGTCTCATAAGAATTGTCCTAAACTGTGGGAAGTCCCATTTCTCACAGCGATGTTTAGTAAATTTAGTAGTTAATTATTAACGGTAGACTATTTCAATGTTATTACGTTTAGTTTTAAAATTTTACTTATATAAGATAGTGCAGCATTTGACTTAGCCATGTTGTATAATACAAAATGCCGTACATGTATTGTTTTCCTAATAACAATGTAGTTTAGATTCTTTACGTGAAAATATTATATTACATGGATCAATTTTTTGTACTAAATTTGGTAAGGTATGACATAACTAACCACAATGGATATACCTACTTATCTACTATATTAATAATCTACTATCTTCTTATCTTATCTTACTATATAGCTACTATACTATCTATTTATTATACTACAATAAAGTTAGGCCTATAATGAGTAAAAAAAAAATCACTCAAATTATTAAATGAAATGAATAATTCAGATGGTTTATATTTTAATTTTTCCTTGAGATTTTTAAATTTATCCTTAATTATATGATTTCTATAAGAAAGATCTTAAATTTGAACCTCATCATAATCAAAGTTTGCATAATTAAGTTCCTTACTCTATTTTTGTATTCTTATTAAATTAAATAAATTAGTAGCTACAAAAAAAAATCCGTATACATTTCTTTAATTTAGAATTATGTGTCTACAATGTCTTTATTCAAAAAAAAATTATTCATTATTAATAAATTAAATAAGAGAAATAATTTCATTAGTTATATCGTCTTTATTTTCTCCAATGCAAAGATTCTTTACATTCAAACTCATCAATTGATTATATTAACTACATTTTTCATTATGTTATTTTCTTTTTACACTATCTTGTAATTAAATATCAAAGTTATAATACAAAGGCCTTGTTTGGCCATCAGCGTTTAGCGGTTAGCAGATTGTGTTAGCGGATTGTGTTAGTGGGTTTGACACGCGGATTGTGTTAGCAGTTTGTAAAAAGATATTTGATAAAATGAGTTGTTTAGATTAGCGGTTAACATGTAAAATGACCAAAATAATATACATATATTTAATAATATTAATAATAATAAATTTTTTAAAAATAAATAACAAAGGGGAGCCGCTGTGGCTCCCCTTTGTTTCCCCACTTGACCCACATCGGTGGAAAAAATGGGAATTGGAGCCTTGAGACTTCTATAAAAGAAGCCTCAAGGCTCCATAAAATTAGCTTGCACATTCGTTGATGAGTAGTAATTAAGGAGCCGGGCTCCTTAATAAGGAGCCAAAATGGCTCTATATTAAAGGAGCTTGGTTACTAGTATAATTTTTTTTAAAAAAAAAAAAATTAAATATAGGGACGTTTTCGAAAAAGTAAAAAACTTTCTAAAAATGCCAAGTTAAAACGCTACATGTTGTAGCGGTTCGATTTTCGTGATTTAGAGCAAAATACTAAAATGATAGATTTGTCAAAATTTTGATGGATATGCTATTTACCAAACATACCAAAAATAATAAATGGTTTGATCAATAGTAAACATGGTTACTGTTGTGATTTTAGAGTTTATCTTAGAAAAAATTAAGAGAAAATTTTATTTTTATTTATTAATTATTATGATATTGTCATTTTTATTATACTTTTTTAATTTTATCATATTACATCATTGACTTTTATTTGATTGCGGGAAAGAAATTTGAATGATAAATTACATTCTTAGCACTCTTTATTAAATGATAAAATGACAAAAATTTAATCCGGGGTGGTAGCTCAAGCCTCAAGTGGCAAATAAACTCTCTTTGTGGAGGAGAATTTCGAGACACCTCATGGTTTATAGAAAAAAAATGACAAAAGGTTAAACATATGATTAATTGTCGAAAACAAATAAAAGTAAAAATGTAATGAGACAAAATTTTAAAAATAAAACAAAATGTGACAACTTCACATGTTTAAAAATAGGATTTGTTGTCCCCGAGCTTAATATAGTTAGTTTGTCGCTGGTTTGAGGCAGCGGTGAGTTTGAATCTCACTAAAAGCATGTATAGAAAAAGATCCAAAATAACCCAATAGAGTAGCTCAAGTGGCAAATGAGCTCTCTTTGTGAGGAAGAATTTTGAGATAACTCGGGTTCGATTCCCACAAGTGACAATTCCCTTTGGGCCCGTTTCTGGACCTGAACCGTTAAACGGACAGAGAAAGACCCGGACCACAATGTGTGATTTACACATAAAAAGAAAAAGACCCAAGATACTGAAAGGTTTGAATTAAATCCTTAAGAAGGTCTGAATTGGAGAAAACATGTATAGAAAAAAACCCAAAAATACTGAAAGATCTAAATTGAGTCCTTAAGATTAGTCCATCCAAATTGGGATCACCTAAGTTTCAAAGAAAAAATAAAAATTACTACGGTGTAAAAAGGAGGGAGAATTATAAAGGAATAAGAAGCAGAGAGGAAACACCGAAACAGAGGCAAAAGAGGTTGAAATGCAACTATAAAAACCCACTCCCGCTGCTTCTTCCTCGCTTGCCAACTCCAAACACAGCGCTACCATCTCTCTCTCTCTCTCTCTCTCTCTCTCTCTACATTGCACACAATCATCATTCATATATATATATACAGAGTATATATACATATATATCTATCTGTATTCTCTCTCGGTTTAATGGAAAATTCTACTCGGTGTTCTGTTATCATCGTCGGAGCCGGAATCTCAGGTACCGTATTGCTAATACGCCGACGAAACCGCATTCTGTGTGTGAAAAATGTTGGTGTGTTTATGATAGTGATTTTTAAATTTGGTGTTGTATGTGATAGGGATTGCGGCTGCGAAGGTGTTGGCGGAGAATGGGATGGACGACGTGGTGATACTGGAGGCGGCGGATAGGATTGGGGGGAGGATAAGGAAGGAGGAATTCGGCGGAGTGAACGTGGAGCTCGGTGCCGGTTGGATCGCCGGCGTCGGCGGCCAGCAATCTAACCCCATATGGGACCTCGCTACTCAATCCGACCTTCGCACCTGCTTCTCCGACTATAGTTACGCTCCCTACAATATCTACGACCAAAGGTTTCGTGAATTCCTCTACTCCATGATTAGCACTCGAAGTCGAAGATTTTATTTATTTGTTTGTTTATTTATTTTTGAAGTGGGAAGAAATATCCAATTGCTATCGCAACTGATTCATACCAGAAGGCTGTAGACTCGGCGATTCAGAAACTGAACCATTGCATCACAGCTGATGCTTCCGTTCTGCCTGAAACGATGCAGTAAGATGAATTCTCATATTTTGAATTAATGTTCATATTTTGATTTTTTTTTTGAAATTTTGAATTTGGCTTTTGCAGTACTCCTAAAACACCAATAGAGCTAGCAATTGACTTCATTCTTCACGATTTTGAAATGGCAGGTCTATTTTCTACCATTACTCTGCTCCCTTATCCTCTCTCTCTCTCTCTCTTTTCTATCCACTTTGAATTTTGATTTATTCAACGTTTTATTCCAATTTTTCTGAGTTGCATTTATTCTTGTATTTGAACTTGACAGAGGTGGAACCCATATCAACCTACGTAGATTATGGCGAGAAAGAATTTCTGGTTGCTGATGAAAGAGGTTACGAACATTTGCTTTACAAAATGGCGGAAACTTTTCTGTTTACCTCAGAGGGTAAAATTGTGGACGGTCGTCTCAAACTTAACACGGTATAACTCTCTTTATGTTTCTGCCTATGTGTTCTCTTCTTTTTTGAATGACAAGAAAAAACCCTGCAACTCTTTCGAGTTTAGGTAAATTCCGTCCTAGGGACATAAGAAAGTAAACCCATCTAAGTTATCTGATAAATTCAAATCAAGAGGTAAGAATTCAAACTCGTAACCTTATGGTTATAAGTGTGAATCTCTTTGCCATCTTAACTATGGTTACCTTGCCTATGTGTTCTCTTAAATTAATCAACATAGACAACTCAATTGGTCACAGTGATAAAGTTTGAGAACAATGATGTGAGATTGAGTCTCCCAAATACTCTGTTTGGTCAGGGTGTGAGGACTCTTGAGATTGAAGATTCAATTTTTTGGGAACAATGTGTTCACTTCGTTTTGAAGTTAATTGCATCTGAATCAGTGCATATCTTTTTGGGATTTCTATTCATAATTCACGGAATTGGGACAGGTTGTTCGGGAAGTGAGGCACTCGAGAAATGGCGTTTCAGTTACCACAGAGGACGGCCAAGTTTTCCAAGGCAATTACATAATATTATCTGCTAGCATTGGCGTTCTGCAAAGTGATCTCATTTCCTTCCAACCACCCTTACCAGTAAGCTTCTACTTCCCAACTATCACAAAATATCTGTATTAATACTCTTATTATTTTTTTTTTGAAAGAATACTCTTTAATATTTTGATTCTTGAATGTTTCAAAAGTTTACCTGTAAAATATTTACAGTGTGGGCCAATTATGTGGTTATTCACACAGAGACCATGTTAAAAATGTCTATTTTAAACTAGCCAAATATTCGGTCAATCAGTCAATGGCTTAGCTATAGGTTTCCAGCTAGGATACAAGTCATCTCCTATAGGTTAGACTACCTAAAGTTGGCCATCTGCAGAATATGGATGTGTGAGCATTCTGGACCTAGCTATTAAATTCTAAGACTAAGTTTATTCTTAAATACTCTCACTTTTAAAATTAAATTTTATTATCATATTATCTATCATTTTCTCTTTATTTCTATAATTCTAACTCACATTTAATAATATAATAACAAAATAATAATAATAATTAATTAATTAAAAAAGAAATAGTACAAAAACCTGCTAAAGAACAGCTTTTTCAAAACTTGCAATGCTTGCATATGTGGGCTATACTATATTAATAAAAAATAAATAAATTGACATGGCACTTCCATATCTTCATCCAAGTGGTGCCATTGCAGGGATGTAAGAGAATTCCCATTGAGAAGTTTTTTTTTATGAATTTTTGTTAAATTTTAACTTAGGTGGGTGAGAGGTGAGAGGTGAGAGGTGAGAGAAGAGAGAAAAATTAGCTCCATTTACTAAATTGAGATTATTTTTTTTTTTGTTAAAATTAGAAAGAAAAATAATTGAGTTAATACCCAAAATTGTCCTCGACTATAGTGATTTTTCTCAATTTCGTCCTAAACGACTTTAGTGACCTAATATAGTCCCAGACTTTTGTGTTTCGCTCAATTTAGTCCTCCGTTTGTTATTCCGTCAAATTGGTGTTAAATAAAGGGACAATTCAATAATATCAATATTGACCTCTCTTTACTTTCAACCTGCGAAGTGAGAAATCTCTCTTTCTTACACGAATTACACTCAGAGTTACTCTCAGACCTACGAATCAAATTTTATATTCGCAGCTTTAGAAGTGATTCTGGGAGTAATTCGTAAAAAAAGAGGGATTTCGCACTTCACATGTCTATGAATAAAGAGATGCAAATATTAGAATTACTGAATTGTCTATTTATTTAACAACAAATGGATGGAATAACAAATGAGGGACTAAATTGAGCAAAAACACAAAGTCTGGGACGAAATTGAGTAAAAACACAAAACTATGGGACTACATTAAGTCACCAAAGTCGTTTAGGACAAAATTGAAAAAAATCACTATAGTCGAAGACAATTTTGGGTATTAACTCAAAAATAATTTGTACCAGCGACGCCAAAGTGGTCGCCAATAAGGTGATTGCCAACTAGTGAGCATCCTGAATTTTTAATTTCCTTTTTTCTTTCTTCCAGGTTGGGTAAACTTTTTCCACAAAAATTCAAATAAAAACTCAGATCAATGAGGTTAAAATGTTAGGCCAGGTGGGCAGCTAGTGGACTATCCATGTGTGAATTATGTATGGTTTCTTAGATTACCATAGCTAGGTCTACGTGATTGTACGAAACCTGTGGGTAGTACTTGGGTGATCCGTGGTATTCTGTGATTCATTATTTCATTTGATTGATTTATTACTAGATAGGCCACTGTTGGCTTTTTTATGGAATCTGAACCTTGTTAATCAGTGACAGCTTGCTAGTTTTCTTGGCTTTTTCATGAATTAATGGGGTCTACCAGGATGATATTCCTTCAAATTTGACCTCTAAATTAAAGAGCTAGCGCAAATCAGGCATCTTACACTGTAAAGGAACCTAGGTGTCTTTGTTTCATCACTTTGACCAAATCACATGGTCAGTATTAACAAATAACAAATGAAGTACACGAGATAATATTTGATTACTTGTTGACTCAATGCCTCTGTCTTTTCATACTTATTATAAGTTTTATAAGGTTAACCGTGTAAATGTAAATTTAAACAGAGATGGAAGACAGAAGCCATTGAAAATTGTGACATTATTACTTACACAAAGATATTTCTCAAGTTCCCCAAAAAATTCTGGCCTTGTGGCCCTGAAAACGAGTTCTTCATTTATGCCCATGAACAAAGAGGATACTATACGTTCTGGCAGGTATTACTAAATACTAATAGACTAAATCTGCACTATGATCATCTTCAATTGCATTTCTTATCATCTGTTGTCTAATTTTGATGATGTGCCCACTATTTTACTGCTTATAAGGTTAAATAGTTGCTGGAAGCTCCAAATCTCATACTTATTGCATCTGTCACATTTAATTCAGAATGTGACATCTTATAGCGTATCTCCTATTTCTTAATAATACCAATTAAAATCTACTTAAAATACATAAAATATAAGTATAGATGCAAATGATGAGAACTAAATTAGTGTTGGAATTGATAAGTTCACATCTCATGTTGATAAATTAAGGGAAAAAATTGTAGACAATGTGATTTGTTATCCTTATTTCTTCGTTATATTAACAGAGAAGTCACTGCCTAATACTTGTGGATCATTGTTTTTTAAAAAAAAAAAAACTTAAAAAAAAACTTGTGGATCATATGCCATCTTTACATAATAAGGATTTGCGGCGGATTACTCTGTCATTTTCATTGGATGCATCATCAAGACATCTAGCAAATTTATAATTTAATATTGCTTTCGTGGCAAGTAATCCTATTATTTATTAGCCACTAGCTGGTGCCGTACTAATTTAATAGGAAAATAGTTACTTTACAGTGGCTTTCATTTCTTACTTGCTTACTTCTAGTTGGATATTGGTATAGTGATTCATGATGCTATCTTTTCCAGTAGAAGTCATTTTCCTTTTAGAGATCGATTAATGATGATATCTTTTCCAGTAAAAGTCATTTTCTGCACTGTTTTATTTCTTCTGAAAATGACATCCTTTTGCCAATCATAGTGTCATCATTTTCTAGAATTCCACCGCATATAATCTTCAGATTGGGACAGATATAAGGTTCATTATTATACTTTTTTTTTGGTGATTTAGCTACCAGAATTGTTAAAATTGCGGCTTTTGAATTACTCCCACTTTCTATTATTCCTCTTTCATTTTATTGTCAGATTGATTACTCCTTGATTGAAGCAGTCACTATAGTTGGACCACCCAAAATGAATCTTAAAAATCTTTGTCAGCCACTTTGTTTCCAAATCCATATACCAATATAATATTCCTTCCGTCCCATTTTATGTGTTGGGTTCGGTTAACGAAGTTTTATAATATAATTTTTCACAATATTACGTTTAAAATTAGTATGTAAAATTTATATATTTAAAAACTACATTAAAAGTACTATTAAACAAAAATAAAATAAAATTTAAAAATTATAAGCAAATGCTAATAGAAATAAGTAAAGAAGAAAGAGTTGATTTAATCAATAAATAGTAAGTATAACAGATAAAATAAAACAGAAAGAGTATAATTTTGGCTTCTTCCCTAGTCATTTTCAGTAATTTTACTAGAAACCAGAAATGGTAGATACCAATTAACTTTATAATGTGGCGGGTGAATTTGTGATTATCATAATTAGTTTAATATAATATAGGTGCTAATGGATTGTCTACTCATCTTTAACTACATATATACCTACCACCTTCGCTGAACTGTTTTGATGTCATCAGCACATGGAAAATGCATACCCTGAGTCCAATATTCTGGTGGTCACTCTCACGAATGAGGAGTCTAAACGCGTGGAAGCTCAATCAGATGAAGACACGCTAAAAGAAGCCATGGAAGTGCTGAGAAAGATTTTTGGGGCGGACATTCCTGACGCCACACACATCCTTGTGCCACGCTGGTGGAATAATCCCTTCCAGCGTGGCAGCTATAGCAATTACCCCGTCTACGGAAATGCCCGACTCGCACATGATCTCAAGGTTAGTTAATTTGCACTTCATTTGGTTAAACCATTTAATTAATTAATTTCTGTTGGGCGGAAGCCAGTAAGGACCAAGTCCAGCACCATGTGACTAGAGTATTGTTCGGCGTAGATTGGTGAAGGACCAAGTCCAATACCTTGCCTCTCGAAAATGTAATGACAAGTCTATAAAAGTTAAAATTATGCATTCGTTACTAGCTATAACTTTTGACGGCTTGGTTCATTTAGTGTATAAGCGTGTGACAGTTGCAATACATGTTACATTATTTCAGGCACCAGTCGGGCGGATATTTTTCACGGGAGAACACACTAGTGAGAAATTTAATGGCTATGTCCATGGGGGCTATCTTTCCGGTGAGCAATTAATATATAAACTAGCTAAGGAGACATCTGTTGGGCGGAGGTCCGTAAAAGGCCAAGTCTAGCACTCGTGGTGGTACAGAGCCAAATCCAATATCCAATGTTTTGAAAATAATGTGTGGCAGTATAAGGAAATAAAGTTGCGCCTTCACAACCAGTTATAGGTTTTTGCATAGTGATAAGCGTTTGATCTTAACATTATATTGTATTGCCTATTTATTATATTATATTATTGATGAGCAGGCATAGACACTTGCAATGATCTACTAAAAGAAATGAGGAAGGAGGAGGAGGAGGAAAGAAAGAGGAAGAGCGTAGGTGTGCTACTAGAGCCGTTGCTGGCACTCACTGGATCACTGAGACTCAAAAAAGCAGATGCTTTATCAGGTCTCAACAAATGGGATATTCCTAGCTGGCTGCTCTTCCTCAGCAGCAATAAGCTGGGACTTCCAAAGCCCATCTTATGATGACTTCCATTAAAATGGAACCCTACGTAGTACGTACGTGGATAACATGCACTTTGACAACCATAGCAATCTAAACCCTACCCTGAAAATTTTGGCCCAAAGAATACTACACAAGAGAAGGGTACCTGCATTTTTCGTTCGATAGAAATGTTGATTATTGATTCATGCTCTTTTCCTTTTAATTATCCGGAGTGTACAATGTACAATAATCCAATTCTAGTGCCTTATCCTGCTCCTTGGTTCATACTATCTTCTGTACCAGTGTACCGAGCTCACAACAAATATTTATTACCACTGTAAGTATCATTAATACGAATTAAGGGAATTTACAATGTTGAAAATTGGCTATTAACCGATGATGTCATATTTATAAATGATGACTTTTAATGAATTGGTCCACCATAAAATCGGGCAATTGTTATATTGTGCATCGCCCAATGTCCATGTTTTGTATGTACAGAATTATATAGTAGAACACACATAAACTCTTAACATAATACACATAATCTAACATAATACATAATACACAAATTTTTAACATAATACACAGAAACACAAAAAAAAATAAAATTGTAACGGTTGGACGGACGAATCGGTGTTCGTCGCGTCAACTCCCCACCAACTTATAAAAACGATGTCGTTTCGAATCAAGGTGCACAATGCATTGTACATCCTAGTGCACGATATATGCCAAAATTGGGTTGATATGAAAAAATAAGAGAGGAAAAATAATGTTATGTTGATAGGGTCCAAAACCCTTAAAGCATTGTAATTGGGCTTAGGGAAGCATTGTAATTGGGCTACATAAGCAAAGGTTCAAATGACCTAAGCTTCAAACCCAACTAAGTTATATTTGACAAAGGGAGAAATTAGTTCGTAAGTACCAAGTACTAACCACGAAGATCAATTATCACACGTACTAGTGTAGATAATTAGTTAAAGGAGCTAATATTTAGAAAAAACAGACCCCACCAGTTACAAGATTTTTTCGCCACGTATCTCCACCAGTTACAAGACATTTTGCGCCAAGCCGTCACATCACGAAACAAGACTTAGAGGACCAACCAACTTCCTAGCCACTCCCCCACCCTTAGCTTCCTGCATTCAGCCATCGCTGCCTACGCCTAACTGTGGTTTGTTATGACTAGTGGGGTTCTGTCGTAGTCTGGTTGAAGCCATGGTGGGTGTCGAACAACGGTTAACAACAAAAGGCTACAATCTATTTGCTACCCTATAACTCAAATACACTTACCTAGCCACTTGGTAAGTTGGTAATAAGAGCTTGATCTTGTTGTTAGAACTTGGAATAAAGAGCTTTGTTTTCTAATACGAGAGGATATATTTGTGAGATTTTTAGAGTGCTTATATAAATGAGTGATCACTCCATAACAAAGTGCAAGTAAGGGAGTGATGTGAGGTCCAACACGTACTCATATAGTTGAGGCATGGTAGGAAAATGTCAAGTCCTAAAGAGGTTGATAAGCAGGAATTGAGTCTTGACATTGCATATGTCTCATGATGACTTTGCTAAGATGACTAATGTACGTGATTGAGGCACAGGGCTGGTCCTATAGTTTTATAGGCCCGGCCCGACGAGGGCAAGTGAAAAAAAAAATGGCCCCAATACGATATTTAAAAGTTAACAAAAATTTTTATAATTAAATTTTAAATGTCATATACGAGTACAAAAATACTATTCTCAACTAAATTGAAATAAAATTTAAAAAATTTAAACATTTTACAAATACAAAACTGATTATGACAAAAAGATTCTATGAGCTTTCCTAGATGCAAAGTCATCAATGACCTCTTCAAGAATAATATTGTCTAAGATATCATTCTCAATACACAATATTTCTCCTCTGTAACACTTTTAATTCATAAAAAAGATCATTTGAATCAACATCGGACACATTGTTATGAGAAAAAGTAATTGCAAAATTATTACAACATTCGATTAATTCATTATTATCTAATAACTTCAATGTTTTTGAACCATACAAGAATCCAAAAATATTTTCATTATTATCTAATAACTTCAATGTTTTTGAACCATACAAGAATCCAAAAATATTTTCAAATGTCTTTAATTGCTCAAATCTAGTATTCAATGAACTGAATGAAGCAATTGTCATATTTACAACAATTAGAAAATAATTAACTCTAAAGATTCCTCAGGTGATTGCAACAACTTAAAGCATTAAGATTCCTCAGGTGATTGCAACAACTTAAAGCATGGCTAGACCTATGCTCACTGCGCACAAGGAACCCCCCTCACTTTGAGAGGTAGCTCCCACACTTCCGCTGGTGAGACTCGATCTCTGGTCATTCTTCCAAAGTTTCACCTCTGTGACCAGTTGAGCTGCCCATGCGGATCTAATACACATAATTGAATTAGGATTTGCATATTTGCAGAATTGAATTCTCAAAAAAAAAAAAAAAAAATAGAATTGCCTTTAATTGAATATTACAGTAAAAATTTTGTCACAAATCCTAATTCTAATTACAGTAAACATATCACAAATCCTAAATTCCTAATTCACTACATACTAAGCACTTAGGGCAGTAAAATTTGAAAAAAAAAAAAATACCTTTGCAATTAGAGCATTAGGCCTTGAGCCCGTGAAAGTGAATGGTGATTAGGTGAAGGTGGATTGCGGAAAGCCTGGAGGTAAATGATATTTGAAGGCGGATTTGCAAATACTCAGATAGTGCCGATGAAATTGATTATTGTCGATGGTGAATGGTGGATAAGTGGATTTGCAGATTGAGTTTGCTTCTAACTTCTGAGCTTTTATTGATGAATTTGATGACTCAATTTTTACTGGGTTGAGAAGGTCGGGCAACTAGCGAGTTGGCGACGCTTGGGTTGGGTGCGAGAAAGTCTACGCGTCTACGCTTCTCCAGTCTCCTCGTCTTCTTCGACTCAGGCCCAGCTTCCTCGTAAAGTCGCAGAGACGCAACCAAAACGGCAAAAAAATTAAAGAATTTTTATTATATATATATATATATATATAGACTATGAGCCCCTAGGTAGTGGTGGGCCCTGGGTAAGGACCCCGCCTGCACTTGCCTAAGCCGGGCCTGTTGAGGCATTGAACGGTCAAATATAGAGAATTGAAAGAGATAGGGGACCAAATAATCACAATGAAAATCAAAATGAGAGGGTGAATGCAGGAAATAATGAGAGAAGGAATGGGGATAGTACAAGTGTGGAAAAATGTGTTAAGAGGAAATGGGGTAATAGAAGCAATAGGAGGCTGGGATAGGGATGAGGAAGACCGTGTGCACCATGTATGGTGCACACGGTTGCAAAACAACGTCGTTTCAATTAAAAAAAAAAATTTCGTTCGAATTGTAGTTAACGGCGTTAGTTGGTTTCTTTTCGTATTCAAACAGTAGGATATATCCACAAATTCATACCTATATATCCACAAATTCATACCTATATATCCAGATCGAATTACATAACTATATATTCATAATTTGACAGCAATTCATAATTTCATATCCATATATTCATAATTTTACAACTAGACATTTATAATTACATAACTCCATATTAAGAATTCTTAAAGTGCTTGTTTACAGAGAACTATATCCATAATTTCAAAACTATATATCCATAACTTCATAACTATATACCCACAACTTCATAACTATATGTCTATAACTTCGCAACTATACATTCAGAATTACATAACTATATATTCATAATTACACGTCGATTGGAGTTTTTGTAAAAAAAAAAAAAATTGATTGGTGGAGTTAAACGGTGCCACTATTGACACCATTACTCCATCATATTAAATAGTGTCGTTTTGCAACCGTATGCACCATGCATGGTGCACACGGTTGCACAATATAATTTGCGTGAGGAAGATGATGACATTAAGAACATTAGATAACATTGCATGCATATTCCAAGGGTCCAATAATGACATCAATTTATTCCCTTATGTAAGAGGTTGTGGGTTCAAATCTTAGTGGGGGTGATATCGATTTTTTAGCTATGAACAGATACTACATAAAATTTATTTAGAATCGCAAACAATACAATATATATATATTTATTTATTTAGTTCAAGAAGGTGAAATAGGAAATGGGAATAATTAAACTCCTCATTAATTAACAAAGCACCCATGCCAAGTAAATGAAGAAGTTGGTTCCCACTTCCCAGCTGCCACTGCACACCATTATTTAATTTATTGCACTCACAAAACTATGAAAATAATACCAACTCCATGAGATCTGAGAATTGGGATATATAGATAAAACCTCTCTCAGATCAATTGTGTGATGAGATGAGATCAAGCAAAGGGGTTGGAGCCATCCACCGGCATATCCGTGGTATCATACCATGGGAATGCCCTGCTTCCTTTGCTTGCTTCCAAGATTTCCTCCATTGATAGCGCCGGCTTTGACTTCTGCAGAACAGGCGGAGTAGTCTTTTCGCCAGACGCCTCAAGATCTGCATGGCTTTTCTTCACAAAAGTCTTGAAGAGCTGGAAGTTGTCTTCTTGCATGAGATCGTCCGACAATCGCAGGTACGTAAAACCCGACATCTTGAGCTTGGGAGACAGTTAAGGTTGACACCATTTGGTCGAACATTCAATAGTATTTGGTCGTAGGCTGCCGCATCATATCTTGGCAGTGCATTTTCACCCGCAACGTCAATATACTCCTTCCACCCACCACTTAACACCTGCACACAATACCAACACTTACGTATTTAATTTGGTCGTGAAAGATTAAGGATTAATTATGTAATTTAGTTGAAATGATCTCCGAAGTCTATATTGTAATAAGACTATATGGTCTAATGGTACCTGGGTTAGACTTCCATTTGGAAGGTTGTGAGTTTGAGCCTTAGTTGAGGCATACTAAATATGCACTTTAATAAAGAAAATAGTACATTCATCTTTTGAGAAGCTAATAAAATAAATATACACTCGAAGAAGGAAAAATATGCACTCAAAAAAGAAACAATATGCACTTAAAGAAGAAAAACACAAAAGAATATGAACTAACAGTCTTACACAAAATTACTATAATGCCATCATTTTAAAAAATATATATATTCTTTATTCTAGACGATTGATCGTCTGACAATGACTGAGCTTTTATCATATTTCTTTACTTAAACATATTTGCACCTTAATTGATATTTATTGGTGGTTTGAGTTGGACATGAATTTTGGATGTTCTTTTAATCATTACTATTGATCACTTATTTTATATGGCTACA